AATTACCTCTGAGTGCACCCTGAGTGCGAATTCTTTGTACCACAATTTGATTCAGAATTCTTCACAGTGTAGATGTAACGTATTCTAACGAGTATAATAGATAATTTTCAAACATTTTTGGAACATCGTAACAAAATTAAATATTTGTGAATGTTTACACGAAATAATAATCAAAAATAACAAAGAACTTGTTTCAAATCAAACAAACGAAATTTTAAAACATGATAAAGCAGATTTCATTCTTGAGATCTACTTCTATATTTTCAGCAAGACAAAAGCTGTTACTTATTATTTTTGTTTCCCTTTTGCGAATGCTCATGGGTTCTCCTTCTTCATTGCTATGCATTGCTTTGACATGTAATGCCGAACCATTTCGAAGCTGAAGCTATTAGAGACTGTGATGTTTGTCTCTACGCTATTTTAAATTGAAAAAGTCAGAAAAATGATGCATTTGAATGAATCTTTTGCAAGTTTTAGAAAATATTGCTTAGAGAGAATGTAAATAAGTAAAAATGATTCCAAAAACAATTTTTTTTCTATTGTAAACACTTTGACTCAATAATCTTACAAAATTAATTATTGTTATGCCCTAACAGCCGACAATAACGTATATTTAGCACGGAATTTTAAATGTTTTTAAATGTTATTCTTATAATAAACTTCTCAATTATCATAACAGGAATCAAACGAAGTATATAAATCTGATATCCTGTATTTGTTTGTAACTGGATAAGTTTTGATTTTTATTTTTATTTCTATATTTAAATGAAGAACCCAATAGCGGGTTACCCAATCAATAAAAGTCCAGTAAAAACACAATGGAAAGAATACATTTGAAAGAATTTTTTTCAAGTTTTCGAAAATATTGTTTTGAAAGAATGGCTATAGGTAGAAGTGATTCCAAAAACAATTTTTCCTATAGTAAACATTTTGACTAAATAATTTTAATAAACTATCGTTATGCTCTCATAGCCGTCTATAATGTGCTTTTAACATGGAATTATATATGTTTTTCAAATGTTATTCTTAAAATAAACTTCGCAATTATAATAACAGGAATCAAACTAGTTGTAAATCTGAAATCCATAAAAAAATTCATTTTTTGATATGTGAGAAACTGGATAAATTTTGATTTATATTTTGATTTCAATATTTAAATTAAAAACCCAACAATGTGTAACCCAACAGATAATAGTCCATTAAAAACCCAATGGATAAATTTGCTTCATCATTTATTATTAATAACAAAATAACCAAAATATATTTTTATTTTTTTAGAAAATCGAATACCTTAGCTAACCATTCCTTCCTAACAAGTTTCCTCAGATTTAAACAAGTTAAATATCGCAATCTGCACTTAAAGAAAAAAGCTCCCATGGCTGCTATTTCCAAGAATTTCTTAACAAAGAGCCACTTAAATTAAATGCTCCCTCAGCACAAGCGAAAGAAATAAAAACAAAACTTGATATTCCTCTATACAATGGAAAAGTATATATAGCAAAGTAAGAAAGAAAAAGAAACAGTACTACATTTAAAAGTACACTACTGGGAAATCCAACTGTTCTCTAGTCTAGTTAGAAACAAGAAAATACTATAAGCCTTGTTAAGAAAAGCAATTCATTTTTCATGTTTTAAAAATGAATGTAACGTTATCAAGTCCAAAATGCGACTGAACCTGTGTAGCTCTCCAACTGCAGCTTTCAATATTAAATCTTTTTGTTATGATATTGTGTTCTTAGGAGTTTTATTAAGAATATATTTCAGCTGTAAGAAAACTAATTTAAACTTTTGAAAAGATGAATTTTTCATTTTTGCATAATACAGCAATTTTCAAATTCTAAAACATTTTACAAAAAGTTGAAATTAGAACTAGAGAAACTGCAAAAATTATAGAAACTACTAATATTGTAGATAATGGATATAGATAATGAAATATGGATAGTGATTTAGCTTTGACATGTATATGAATACAATAAACAATTTTTCTTGAACTTGAATTAACAGATAAGTGGATAGAAATTCAAGTTATACATTAGAAAATTATTTAATACAGTTTAGAGGGACTTAATTAAAATATAAACATCCTTATTACGCAACTAAAGGCATAAATACAAAATTTAACGCATCACTGGCTGCGGTCAGTGTGCGGGTGGGTGACCACTTGGATCAGTCTGAGTAGGGACCGAGGGTGTGCGGTATTGGTCCTCGTTAAACTGTTCTACCGTAAAGTGCTCGACTTCGCGTGCAGGTCGTCGGGCTACCGAAGCGGGTGTGCCATCCCCTCTGCAGAGGATCAAAATTGTGATGGCATGTCTTCGGATCATTCTCAGGGATGTTTCCCAGACCGTCGCCAATAGCCCATTGTGCAGTTCTAGTGCGACGTAAATGAACAACAACAACAACAACAACAAAATTTAACGGCGAACTTTAGTTTTCTGTCGATGAAAAGAAAAATTCGAGACAAAAGGGGATCAATAATCACGCCAATTCGTAATCTGTTGTGAACAAAGACAGACGATATAAAAAAAAATAACATTGGAGTTTCCGAAAGCGAAAATATTTAACTCATGGTGTGGAGGCACGTGATCTTGGTGTAAACATTCTGCATTTTAGGTGTTTAAAGTTTTCATACATCCTTTATATTCAAGAGAACGATTCGAAGTTAATTAGAAAAGAATGTTTCTTCAAACAAGTATATTTGGATTGTTCAGCATCGAAAGAAATTGGAGAAATATTTCTAAGCAATTTCTATTGAAAAAAATTTTCTTTAAAATTTTTTGCAGTTTCACTGTAAAAAAAGTTTGGTACATAGTTGACACCATATTTTTCTTCTTTTTTTTGTGGTAAACTAAAAAAGAATTTATAATGCAGTCCCATTTTCTTGCTATTTTAATACTGCTACAATTTTAGTTATAGAGTGATTAATTTTTCATTTGTTTATTAACAGACAACACATGATTTCATGCTCTTTAAAGAAAATTTATGGCTTCACTGCAAAAACATTTTGTTTAAAAAAAAAAACACACACACACGCATTTTTAGTGATACATCCTTCTGTCATAAAATTATCATTGTTTCAATTTTATATAATTTTCCAACACTATAACTACTGCACTGTTTTTAATTTAATCCACCAAAAATATGGGTAACTAAACACCAAAATTTTTGACAGTGTAATTTATTCCTTGCTTTATGCTATTGTTTTTTAAGACATTTCTAATATTCATTGAAATTTAAATACAAATTTTTCATAGTTTCTTTTTAGTATAAAAAGTTTTATGAAGAAGTTACAACAATAGTTTGTAGAAAGAAAACCTCAGATATTTTTTCGATATCCACTTTAGTTTAAACCACATTTACTAGTAATTAACCCATTAAGAACTAAATTTCAGTTTTTCAAAAATATTTTTAATAATAATATTAAATTTGTGATTTCAGTTGAAAAATTAATTAAAAAGATTCAACTTTATTTTTTTTATTCGAAAGACATTGAAAATTTCATACACTTGACAGACTTATTGCCTATTTCCTGAAGATTTTAAGAACTGAGGATTGTGAACATTTTTTTAAAAAATAAATTCATAAAAATTTTAAATATTACGATGGTTTTAAAAAATATTCTTATAAGCCACACTTTTTCCGTGGGTTATATTTTCACACGTCGCAACTCTTGCATTTATTTATAGATGTTTGCTTCAAAATTTACCAAAATTTGCACAGCACAGCACATCACAATGCAGCACACCACAGCCAATTACAATTTCCACAGACATTACGGCCTTACCGGAATATTTTTCTCCGTTGTATATTATAATTATATCTTAACTCCGTTCCTTTTAAGGAATAATTTTTTTCGAGTAAGAAATGATGCTTTAGAAACAAATAGATTTACATTTCAAGGGGTTCGTAATATTTTTGCATTAAGTGTTACAAAGCTGCATGCATTGCGTCAAAAAGAGCTGTTCATTTATTGATATTATACCAAGATATTTAATTTGTAAGTAATTGGTACGAAATTATTGGTAAATAATTATTGGTAAATTATTATTGGTTATATTATTGGAAAATAATATTGGAAATCAGTATTGTAAATAATTTGTAAGTAATTCAAAATTATGTAATTTTATTATGATACCTCAGAGCATGGAGCAAGAACTATTCATTCGGTTTATATTAACTTTGGAGTTTTGTATTTTTTACTAAATGTGAGGTAATTAAAACTAAAATTTCTAAAACCAGAATTTTCAGTAAACCGTAACCATATGAACAGAAAAATTGCTGAACAAATGGTTAAAAAAACGTATATGTTAGTTTCCATGAAATGCCATTGCCATACAGCAGGATAGGTAATTTTTCCAAAATTTTTTCTCTGTATTATTTTCATACTAATTATTATAGTACTATTGTATTGTATTTCATTCTATGTACTTTAACTCGAAAATACTTTTTCTCCTGTATGTTTCTTTACTTATATTCATTTCTTTTGTATTTTTTTAAAATTTGCAGCATGTTCATTTACTATTTTATAAATGTATTAAAAAATCGTAAATGTGGAAAAATTTCATAATTTTATCATGATACCTTATAATCTTATGAAATTTGCATTTTAATCTTGTATTTGCTACTAAATATGTGGTAATTATAACTAGAATTTTGAGAAGCAGAATTTCTGGTAAATAATTACCATATGAACGGAAAAGTTACTAAATAAATGTATTTAAATACGGTATATTTTGGTTTTCAGAACCAGAATTTTGTTGCGTTTTTTTTTTTTGCAGAAATGTCATTACAATATACTACGGTAATTTTACCAGAATTTTTTTCACCGTGTGGTTTGGGAGGATGTTTCGAGGCAAATAAATTTACATTTCTAGTGATTTTCAATATTTGGGGATTAAGTGTTACCAGAATGGTTACATTGTGTCAAAAATTGTAAATTATCATATAATGATCCAATAGCTAAGATATTAATTTTAAAGTATCGATTTTTGTTTACTGACCTCCATTTTGTCCTTCGGTTCTGAAACCATGTTTTAACTTGAGCGTCTGTCATTTTAAGAGTTTTAGCTAAGGAGGCACGTTCTGCTGAAGCTAAGTACTTCTGTTTATGGAATCGTTTTTCCAGCTCACAGATCTGCATCCTCGTGAAACTTGTTCTCGGTTTTTTCCTTTTTGGTGGCGTTCGATTCTGGTAAGGATGACCAATGCGTCTAGGAGGAACCGGAGGTAGGCCTGCTGCCAAAGGAAAAGGCACTGCAAAAGAAAACACATTCATTTAGTAAAATGATAATAAATTACTAAAATGATAATACTTTTTTTTCCAAAAATTTAAACCTGTTTTATAAAATTTACTTTTTAGTCTTTTATATGGTAGAACATAAATAAAGTTTATAGTTTAATGATTTTTGCGTCTTTTACTATACTGTTGCCATCGAGTAACTAAAATTTGGATAAATGTACGGTTTTAAATTAAGTAAATGGTTTATGTCTTTTCCAGGATGTTTTTTTTTTCTTTCTGATTTTTGTATTAGTACTAAAAAAAATGTTCAACTTTAATATTATTGGAATCAAGTAAACAGAAAAAATTCTAGATCAAATAACAGTAATAAAAAAAACGCCATTTGGGGTGCCGGTTCATTTCACACTGAAAAATCAAGTTTTCCTGTAAAATTTTGCGGAACAAAAATTTGATCTATTGTAATTATTACAATAGTATATACTATGAAATCATCGCAATTAAATAAAAATTACTATCAAAATAACGGTATAAAATTTTACGGTAAAAATAGGTTTTACAGTAAAATGAATTTTACTGATGGTGTACCCAAGGTGCCAGTAATTTTTACCGTAATTTGATCCAGAATTTTTTCGGTGTATTTTTGTGAAGGAATCATTAGTATACTTTAAAAGCTGTAATGTCATACCTTTTCAAATTTGATATTAAACAGCCTAAAAAAATTGTGTGACTGAGCACTTTTCTTTTCAACTTAACCCCAAATAAAACTTTCATATACATTATACAGGGTGTATGAAAGCTCTAAGCACCTAATGTCTCCATGCGTTAGATATTTTCGAATCCGGAAACTCCAATGTTAGGGTGCTTTTTTCATCGTCTATAATTGCTTGCAATCGATAAAGTGTTCACATAATTTTTGATCTGTTGTTGTCTTCGATGCTACTTTTTATCTACAGGAACTGAAGTTCGATGTTGAAATATGTATACATGTTTTTAATTGTGTAATAAGAATATTTATATTTTAATTTAAAAATCTCTCTAAACTATATTAAATATTTTTGTACTGCATATTTCCATCTGCTTCTATTCTGTTAAGTTCTAATTTATCATAACATTCTCTCTGTGCTACGCATAAGCTTGATTTACAAACTAATTTTAGTTTAAGAATCAGTTTATTAAGCATCCTAAATTTATGATTCTTAATCTATATTGTTTCGTAAAGATAGCTTCATTTATATACGTATCTCATCTTGCTATAATTATGTATATTTCAGTTACGGAATACCAAAAAAAAGAGGCAGCTAGTTTGCAGCAAGTAGTCTAAAAGTACGTTCTCTGTATTTCTTTTTATACGCCAAGAGCTGTCCTAGGTTCTAAATCAATTTGGTGTAATGTTGTAGAGATCATCTTTGCTGTAAAGAGACACGAAAGTTTTCTACAGGATATCATCTTAAACTGTTAACCCCAAATTGTTTTTTAAATATATTTTAGAAAAAGAGTATTAATGCTTCGTACATATAAACACAGCCAAGAAGAGCCTAAACATATTTTTATTTGTTTTAATTTCACTATTAATCATAGAACATTCATAACTTGTAATTTGTAGCTCGTGATTAACTCGTGAACATTGATAATTTATGATTTTTAATGGTATTTTAGATACCTTCTTTTTGAATAACTAAGAAAATCTCTGTTAAATTTTTAATAATAAATTTTCAACATTTTATAAGATTATTAATTATTAACATTAATATAAGATTATTTTCAATTTTTAGATAAAGAAAGTTACAACAAAAAAGTTTCAGTTGGATCAAATCCTGAAATGTATATCAGTCAAAGCATTTGAAAAATGATGAAATGTTTAGAAATTTTATCAAGAAAAATGTATGCTTATTATAAAACAGTAACTTTTTTAAGAGTTTTATGTCACTGATAGTAATTCCAAACTTAAAGAATAATTATTTTAAGTTTAAGAAAATTAACTATTTATTTATATTCGTTTCCAAAAAAAAAAAGTCAAATGGCAGACTGAATTAAGAACTGTGAAGCACAAGAATGAAACGCAAGTAATCATTTCATTGGCTCAACCTGCTGAGTTTTTTTTCCCTTTCAATGTCTCCTCTTCAACCTGGTATTAGCTCAATAAGGCTTGGCAGGTTCAGCACCTGGTAGTCAACGACTCAGTCACGCATGCAAATGAATAAAGCACAGAACAAAATAGTATTAAAAGTAGAATGATAACATAACTTGTAGTAACATTACTGCTAATACAGATATTTAGGGTTGCGTTTAACATTAGTTAAAATATTAATTATGAAAATGTACATGCTGAGGAATTTGAAATTTGAGATTTACACTGGGTTGAAAAAGAGTAAGAAAAATGTTTGGTGGAAAACAGTGTAATGTAATGTAAAATGAGAAAGCTAATTTTATAAAGGAAGATAAATTCGATATCAAATACCTCTATTAAAAAGTTTTTTCGGAAATCAAATACCCCCAAGAAACTGAGCTGCAATCCCTTTCAGTTTCATAATAAATCACAGTTCTGAATAAATCAATAATCCATGCATTTAGAAAAAAAAAGTATGGTCAAAGCTACAAGAATAGAGTAAGATTTACCCTGTTTCTGGCTCTATTAGAATATCATGATAATTTTTACAGAAGTGCTTTGTTTATAATTTTTGTAAAATTAACAATAAAATAATGTTTTAAAATTTGCATTTCAGCTTAGTAAATGTGGTAAAATTTGGGTAATTTTATCATGATACCTAGTTAGTATTAAAAACTACAAATTTCAAAAAGCAACCAATATCATATGAAATGTAACCGTTATTATATCAATGATCAAAATGTCGCATAGTTTGGTTTTATTACCAGAATAATAATAGTACAACTATTATAAAGTAAAGTGCAAAATTTTGACAAGTACGAAAAAGTGCAGGTACAAAAAGAACTGAAAACAAAAATAACTGAAAATTTCACATAAAAAAAAAGGAAATAGATTGATATGAGGGCTTTTATACTCCAAATGCAATTTTTTCTATCATAATTACAACTTAAAATAGCAATTGTAAATAGGATTTAGCATCTTAGCATAAATGGAATTGTTTTTTAAATCGACATAATTTAGAATCACAAGTTGAACTAGGAAATCACAAGCTGATAGCAATGGAAAATAATAATTATAATACTAGCTAGTTTTTGGAAATAATCAACAATTTTCGATATTTTCATAAAACCATAGATAAGAGGAAAAAATAAAGAGTTTAAAGCATATCAGTGCAACATTATTTTCTTTTAATTACAGTAAACTAACAACAATATACAGTGATTTGGAAATTTTGAGAATATTCTGACACAATCGTTTATATTTCAACAATTTAAAAAAATTCGAATAATTCTTAAAATCATAACACATAATCGACACAAAATATATTAATAGTTTGAAGAAAATGTTATTTAATTAAATGTTACCAAGGAAGTCACACCCACGTACATTTATTTTTAATTTAAATTCTTTAACATTTCCAAAATAAAACTATTTACATGTATATTTATGATGATATCTGTATAATTTTACATCACATTCAATCCAACTTTTATCTATATTTTATCAAATGTTAATTTTTTTTAAAAAAAAATCTCTTGTACACACTTTCTTACTTTAGCAATTTTTTCTTTGTGATTAATATTCACGCTTTAGAACTTATAAATTTAATTTCAGTCTTACACATTCAGTCCATTTTTGAAAATGTACAACAAGAATATTTGTCGACTGTTATTCTAAATTTAAAAAAGTTATATAAAACACACGGAAATAGTTTTTAATTAAGTATTCAAATGATGGCAAAACAACTTTGCTTAAACCATTGAAACTTTATAAAGTAAAATAATCCGTTAATTTACTCTTCTTAACTTGATTTACAAAGGTCGTATATTTGTATAAAAGGTTAAGAGTAATAAATAGTACTATAAATTTGGAACAGTGAGTACTTTAAAACAGTTTGTGTAAAACACATGTTGAAAAAAATAAATATTATGGGTTAACGCTGCATTTTAGAATTGTACTATAAGAAATGTGAGCGAAAATGGGCTAAGTTGTATAAGTTCCTTTCCTTTTTTTTCTTCTTTTTTTTACATTATTAAATGAAATAAAATGCCCAAATTCTTACACTATTTCTTTTTACTATCTACAAAATGTACAAAATACCCTCTTCGATTCTTAAAGTAAAACACACTTAAAGTGTTCAAAAAAGATATCAAATGCCTTAAACAGGCTCGTTTCACGAAAATAAAAAAAGAATAATAAAATTTTTTCATCTCTTATTTTGAGTGTCGTCTCTATCACTGGAATTCAGTGTAATAACATACAAACGACCATGTTTACATGTCAAATATCCTAATCAAATAGACTTTTAACATGTATGTTTTGTCGCGTAGCGATAAACAGGTACCATTACACCGTAACGATATTTGCCTGAAAATAGTGATTTAATTTAATACTTCGTTCTTTGGGATAAGATTGGAATAAGATCTCGAAAAATTTGCTTTTTATTGAAGCATTAGTTGCTATGGTAAACAATAAGCTCTATTTTTTACTATCAATATCGTATCGAAGAATTTAGTATGTGTTGACTACTGTGCCAAAAAGAAACTTTTGAAATTTAGCAAAATTAAAATTATTCTCAGCATTAAAACAATATTTTGATGCAAAAGTTCTTAAAAATAAAAATAAAAGTTATTAAAATGTTCTTAAAAAATTAAACCTAATGCAAAGTTTTACCTAATAAAAAGTAAACAACTTTAAGAACATAAAAAATTAGACTGTTAAAGTTGTTTGTTCACCAAAACAAAACAAATATTATTGACGCTTGTATACGACTGCACTAACTCTTATGGTACTATTGCAAGAAGTATTATAGAAAAAAAATATTTTAGCTCCTTAGACGGTTTGTTACTTTTACGTGATGAAATTTATAGACAAATGGATTAATTTTTATTAAATCCGATTTTTAAC